GGCAAAATGTGCCTCCAAGCAAAATTAAGTAACCACAACAATGAACTTTGAACATTCATTCTGACCCAAAAGATTTTTTTCGTCTTATTTCCAACTCTACACCTCAACAATAAAACATTTCCTTTTCTTTCTTTTACATTTTAATTTTTAAACACCTTACTGCCAGATACTTTTTTCAAAGTAAATAATCTGTTTACAAACAGATTTACTCCACAATACAATTTTTACATTCTAAATTCGAATAACAATATATTCCCACAACTTGTTTTACAACAAGTAATTTTTAAGGACATTGTGTCTACGAAAATTTATCATTAGTGGAAACTTTTGTTATAAATATTGTTAATTTCTTCATGTTTTCAAAACGATGCTAATCGAAAAGACTAAAAACCCATTATTCTCTCGGAATTTTATTTTTTAAGGTAGAGTGGTATCCTGTAAACATATTTGAAATTGAGAAAATATGAAACTGGTCTCTTGGTTTGCTCCTGGACATAAATGCAGCTTCACTACCTGTTCACATTTTCTTTAGCTGTCGGAAATATAGTTATTATATTGACATATAGTAATTATTATCTATAAGTTATTCAAATAATTTCTTGCTGTGGAAAGTCAATTACTTGACGTGGGGCCCGATAAGGGATAACAGAAAAAATCCATAACTTATTTTTTGTTAAAAATAGTTTTTATTATACGGAAGCAAATATTTCGTATTATCAAATCTTACAAAAACGCTCGCTGCTCCCTGTATTCATAATTCAACTTATTATAAGCTGTGTTAAAGTTGAGGTGAAAATTGTGTGACGTACTATGGCGAGAAATGCAAACTATGCAAGCTTTATTGGCCTATTGAAACTCAACCACAGCCCTTATACAATAAAAAAACAACAAATAAATAAAGAGCTTTTGTTTCTGTTAGTGGCTTCATGAAGAGGAGGCCACAAAACATGCACTAGCAAAAATCTCGTATGTAACAGAGACGCACTCCGGATTTTTCTCGAGAGATAGGGCTACAGATGTAGTATCGCCGGCGTTGATGTTTTCTTATAAAACTAATGGAGCTAGAAAAGCACATATCTTCTCGCATCATTTATAACTGCTCCGTAATATTATTCTACTACATAAACATTCAAAAGTGTTTTCAACGGGGAAAAAAGGTTTTCCCGCTCCAAGACACTTTGTAGATTCTCAGAATTAACTCGTCGTCACTCGTACCACTACGCCACAGAATCGCTCTATGGATCCAACTCGGGCCGCCGCTTAAAAACGTAAATGCTCGCTTTATGTAAAGAACCTTTAAAATCAAAATATCCATTTCAAACTCTCAAAGTCTCGAGTTCGTTCAGATCGATTGGGGAATATCAATTTTGGAGAAAGTCGACAATACTGTAGCTAGCGTAAATAGAAAAATTGAGTCATGAATCAATCTGTTCTCAAAAATTAGCTCTTTGAAAAAGGTCATTAACAATTTTTGGAAAAATGAGTAATTTTTGCGAAAATTGTATTGGAAATCAATGCAAGATACAAAAAAAAAAAATCTCAAATACCGCTCACAATTTTGTTTTTTGTTGCACTTTGAATTTTCAAAAATTGCAAATTTAGAAGCAACGCGGAAAAGTATGTGCTGTTGTAGCAGTACTTGTTTTAGAAATGCATGTTAAAAAGAACAAAATGACATGCCTAAAACAAGAACAGGAAAATACTGAATAATTTCCGTATTTGATGTCGAACGAGAAAAGTGTATTCAAACTTCCTTTAGAACTCTTCATTCGCAACCAGAATTCTTGACAAAAATGTACAAAACGTCTTTTTATTGCTTATAAATAATCATGTGCAACAAAATCTAAACCGAAATTGTGTAATACCTTCGGTTTTACCCCGCATTACAAATGTTCTTTAGAAGTTTTGTCAGAACTCGTCGTTCGCTATTGAGAACTTTTGTAGTGGGTTTGAAAAACTTTTCAGTGTTTGTTAGGATTTTTGGCTGAATGTTGGGAAAATGGAAATCAATTTTTTCAATAATTTGGTTATTTTTTTAAACTTTTTTGGTGAACGTTTGAGAACTCTAGAACTCTTTGACAGCCCTTGAGAAATCTTATATTATTCCCATTTTTCTGATTTTTGTTCGCAGCCCGCTTTTTGAATTTAAATATAATTTTTTGTGATATTTTTTAATTTTCAGAACTTTTTTCGAATCTTTTCGGCAACTCTAGAAACCTTTGTTCTTTAGAACCCTCAAAATATTTTGAATTTTCAAAATTCACCCCGCCAATTTCACGCACCCATAGCGCGTCCGAGGTTAAGAATGAAGTACAGGGCCTGAAGGGTTTTTCCGGGTAAATGGACCCCCCCCCGCCCCCGGTTTTTTAAGATTTCAAAACTGTTTTAAATTCTCATGAACATAATTTGCCGTAAGAAAAATTACATTAGTAAAATAATAACTCGAATACATTATATATTTACCACATATTGTGAATATTTTTCGAATTTATTAATTTTTGTAGTACGGAATATGTTCGACTGTTGGATCAGCCACAGCTACGGTGCCACCTGCTTCGGTTGCCATATCACACTGTGCTCGTAAAGTTCGCGTTCCGGTTATTGGCCTGTATTTGTTCTAATGTGTTTAGTTGGGTTTTGTTTTTGAGATTTATAGTTTTAATCACACCAAAATTAAAAGAAATTTCGTTTGCTATTCTTCCTTTTATTTTTTGGATAGTGAAAAATTTATTAATTTTAAAATTTTAAAGAATTAAATTTTTAAAAATTATTTGAAATTTATTTTTTTTTCTTTGCAAACTTCATTTAGAATGTGTGATCAACATACCATAAAGACAAGAATGGTAAAATGATCCATAGTGGGGAAAAATAATTGGTTATTAATGTTTAAAATGTTTAAGTATAATTATATTATCAAACAGGATTTGTATTCAATGCCTAACTAGAGATGACTGTACGCTCTCTCGGCGCGAGGCAGATGCTGTACAATATTAATTTTTAAATAATTACATAATTCTAACATAAATATTTAAATTAATTCTGTCAATTGAAGTAAGGTAAGAAAGAAAAACTCTAGGCCTTTTTTGTAGGGGGTATGCCCCCCTGGATCCGCCACTGGGTCTATAAATGAAATATTGATCAAATCCTTCAAAAAAATGTAGGTTAATTAGTGCTATGGATGGCACTGACAATGATTATTAAGGGATAGTTATGAAAAGAAAATCAACTTGCTAAATATAGAATGGGAATAATGACAAACCTCTCAATGAGAGTGAGGATGTACTTCAGGAACTATTTATTTCCCAGGAAATTCCTGTCCCCCTTGCTTCAGATGATGAATGTGAGAATTTTCATTTTATATCAGTTCCATAAGATGACCATGTATTTTTGGGGCTTTTCTTTGTGATTGATCTATCATTTTATCTGCTGAAATATATGGAAAGAGTTTTTAAAATGTTTTGAGAAATAGAAACAAATGTGTATATACAAGAAAATACAATAAATTGAAGATTTGAGGCAAAAATTCAATATTCTTTGAGGAGACACCTCCTAGTAGTAACACTCCTATTTTTATTTTTTTTAACATAATTTTCTGGGCTTTAAAATAGTATTATAATAAAAAAAACCCTTGGGTTATACCATGGAATACTTTCTGGGTTATATTTGATCTTACATATCAATAGTTTTAGACTACATAAAAAAAGAAAGTTGAGAATGTGTATTAATATGCTTGTAATGAGACACCTCAGCAATCAATGTTTCACAGAACTATTGGTGCAAATACAATCCTATATATCTACAAAGATTTTGAGATAATTAAGAGCTTACATTAAAGTATGGCCAGAGAAAAATTAATTCAGATTTAAGGCCTGTGTCACACAAGTGTTGCATTGACACACGTCGTATATTAATACTATCTTATGTGTAATGACCAAGACCATTCATATGCCATTTGGCATAAGATACAGTGTTGATCTATGATGCACTTACGTAAAGTTCATGTGACACAGTTTGCATTGTATTGATGAACGTTAAGTAAAGTGCGTAATAGATTAACACTGTATCTTATACGAAATGGCACATGAATGCTCTAGGTCATTACACATAAGATAGTGTTAATCTGTCGAATGTGTAATACAATACTCATGTGACACAGGCATAAGAATTTCATAGAAATATGGACTTCAAAGAAATGTGCACTTCTAATTTTACTTTGTTCCAATCATAGACTATACTTTTGGGGAACATTTTCGTGTCATAAACAATTTTATTTTACTTACATATAAGACACCTTGTACAGAATTTTCTTAACCAAATATTACAAACCAGTGAATCAGTGAAAAGAACTTGATTAAATACAATTCTTCAACAGCAATCATCTTCATAAAGTAATAATAATCTCCTATATATTGTACCCTGCTCATTAGCCCCTTTTCATCTAAACCACTTGCAGATATTTAGGGCATTCACCAGTCTTCAGTTCAAAATAGGACAGAAGAAGGGGGAAAAAAGCAACTCTTATCACACTAGTTTATGTGCAATATACAATCATCATTTATCATTAACAGGAAATATAAGTTATCCATTTACACATTCAACAATGGACATAACACATTTTTTCAATGAAAGGAAAAAAAAGAAGAAGAAAAAAAAGAAGGAAGTTACACATTTAGTGAGCTTATCTACATTCACATAGCAATTATGGTACAACAGGAACTAGATTTGTGGTGTTCTTTACACTTTTTGATTGACAGTCACAACAGCAAATTCAATAATTTCTCTCATTATCACATCAGAACACTGTGATTGACAAAAGCAGTTTACAATCTACGACATTTTCAAAGAGTCTTACATAATGAAAATAATAATTGAGATATTATTATTATTATTATTATTACGTGCACATTGTATTTCTCTAACATATTAATAAACATTTATCCATTAATATGTGTATTTCTAAATGAAATTCTGCTTTCAAAATTTTGATATGTAATAATTTTCGTATCTTTATATTCATAAGTATTTAAAATCATATCACAAATAGAATTTTTAACTAAAATAGCTAATCATTTGTTTATGCATTCATCTAAGAAAATTATATCACATTTTATATTTAGGAATGGAACACAAATTCAATTTGTCTTTACCAAATATCTGTTACAATTGCCATAGATAATTATTTATACAACAGAGATCATGAATATATACTTTAATCACATTGAGTAAAGGATGAATCAATAGAGAGGCCATTTATCAAGCTTTTCAAGTTTGGAGAATAAGAAAGAAAATTTTCTAGTCTTGTCATTAGAACAATATCATTACTGGAATGTATAATTTAAGGTTTTGCTAAATCCCTTATTTAACCTGTCATTTTGTTTACATTGACTAAACATTGAATTTTGAGAAATTTGTCTTAATATCAGGATTAATATCCTACAGGGCTCCCTAAACAAAATTCAAAACATATCAAAATATCCATTTGCATTAAAAAAATATCATGTTTTCAATGCTATTATGATAATCATATATAATATCTTGATTTTTATTACACTGTACAATACAAAATGAAGATAAATTAACTGACTGCAACCACATAATTCCATGCAGTCCAATCTACTGGCAATTATAATGGCATATATTTTACAACTGAAAGTGATTTTTTGGCTCTAAATGAGCATAATATGATACATTCCATATACTGATTCACTTAAATAGTTAAAAATAATTTGCCATAATTCTACCTAATTATTTTTTAAATGTATTGGTATTCAAGTTTTATAATCTGGATTATATAAATTTATGACATTAATGAAATATTTGTAGAAAACCTTTTTTACATGCCTGTAAATGAATATAAAATTTTGCATAAAAATACTGGAGGGGGCCCATTACCAGCAGAGGCCCTAAACTGTATAAGCTTTAATCCACCATAGCTTAAAATCATCTTAGAAGAGATAGAAATACTGAATTTTTTTCTCTTATAACATGTATATAATTTGGCAAATATTGTTTCCTGTTTTATTAAACATTTCTTTTCAGAACTTATTCTCATTTGAGTGCTCCAGAAAAAACATTAATGCAAAGCTATTGCAAAGTTATTCTTTATTACTGAGATAATAAATATTACCTGGAGATTGAAATACATTTAATTCAAACACAATGAAGAAATATGAGAAGGACCATTCCAGACGAGAAAATTCAATATTATTTTAAAACTTATTTTGATTGTGAATTCCAATTAATTCCAAATATTTTGAGACACAGGTTTTTATAAAGAATTTCTCAGCACTTTGAATCTATTAAAACTATTTATATTTGTGAAACATTTCCAAAAATTTTTTTCTGTCACTTTGCCTTTTCTTCTTGACAAACGATATTATCCACATCAATATTTCAGTATTACCACATCACACAACTTTAAAAGAAGTCAGAAAGTTGGAATTAATGGTATTACATTACATCTTGTAATTGATAGAATACGTTACTTGCAGTATTACTAATTGTTTGAAATATAATTTATTGGCATACATTAATTCGTAAAGCCATGGCAGATAATAACATCTTAAACACCATGTTGTGGAATGATGAACGTAAGTATTCAAGTATTTTCTTGAAGTCATCAAAATAATAGTTATTTCAGAATATTTTCTTTCAGCAAAAAATAAAATCTTATTAAGAGTATTCAATGTTAAATTTATTTTAATTTCAGAAATTTTTCTTAAGAAGCAAAAATTCACTTTGAGTATGTTTATGAATTTCATATGACACCTTTCATGATTTTTACAAACAGAAAGAATCTAAAAAAAGTTCAGTTAAAAATCTGTCTTTGAAATATACCATCTTGTTCAAATAAACTGTTTGAGATGTATCAATTTAATACTATAGAGTTTATTTCCTTCCCACACACATTAAAAATAATTTAAATTAAGTAAATGGAGACAATATAACATGTATACCTTTAATAGTATGTCAGAATTTCTTTTTCTGTATATATTTAGTTATTTGGTCATTTCTAATATTCATTTGTGGAGATCAATAAATTAATTACCTGATTTTTAATTTTATATGAGAAACAAGTTGGATATTGTTCTTGTTAGTCTAAATATGTACATTTATGTTATATTAGTACAGTAGTTCATTGTCTCATGACTACATGTATCAATTCTGTCATAATTTGTAGCTAACATGACTAGACCCAATATAGCTACTACCATACCAAATAAACCAAGGAGGAGGGCAGGCAACTTCTTAGCAGATAGCAGAGAGCCTTCTTCAAGTTTTACATAACTCAGAGCTGGAAGCACATAAGCAAGTGGAACAGCTGCAAGTACACCCTGCAAAAATATGAAGAATAATAGAACTGGTACACTTCTGATATAACCTACTGGTGGACAAAGTAAATTCCACAATGAATTATTATACCAATACAAATACAGATAGTGACACTTTTGAGATTATATACGTACATTTAATTCAAGTACAACTCCCAAACAATCAGTTGTCATAGAAATGAAATAAGTAGTCAAAACTAGAGTCAGAGTAATGGCAACATGTTGGTAGGTGGGAGACTGTTCTTCATTTTCTCGTGAAGAGAAAAATGTGTTTTCAATTACTTCTCTTGTCACAAAACATTCTATTGGATAAGTCAAAAGAATTGTAATACTGAATGCAGCTCTGGATATGTTCATCAAATCATCATAAGGGCAATAATTTTCAAGGAGATCACCTGTAGGCAAAAAAATTATTATTTTAAACAATGAAGATATTTCAGTCAAATTTGAATGCAGTAATCAAAATACCTTGTGAGTAGCCAGTAAATGTTGCATAACCAGCTATTCCAAACATTACAGTTACACAGCAAGAAGTTAAGACAGAGGCGTGTGTAACAATATTCCATTGTTGTTGATTTGCATTTTCAATGGAATCATACACCAAAAAAGTATTATGATGACACATAAATGCTGGAAAATGAAATTTACAAAGTGAAAAACGTGAAGCTAATGAAAGAGAATTTTGGAAATTGTTGCAATATTTCTAAAACTTATGAAAGTATGACAATGGTCTTAATATAATGAAAATATTTTTCCAACTATATTATGTTTTCTTTAATTCTTCTAATAAAACAATACTAAGACATGAACATGATACTAATACAATTACAACACAAAACTAATGGTGCTGTAATAGAACATACTACTTCATATTGTTAGTAAGTGTTACGTAATAGTATTATAATATTGCTACTTCAAACATATTAACACTTCAGCCTTCACTTGGAAAACTAAAATTATATAATAGAAAATGAATTCAACCCCTACCATTTTGAAAAGTTGTAGGCACATAAAATCTTTCACATATCTAAAATTGATTAACATCTTGCATAAATAAAGGAATCTCTGGTTACTATATCTGATGTGTAGGACAAATTCACAAAACTAACTTTATTAATATAAACATGACTATAGAAGATTACACAAAACTACTTATATTTTGAAAAGAGGCTTTATAAAATAATTTAAAGATATAATATTGAGAAATAGATTGAATTAAGAAGAAGCTGAAATATTGAAGTAATGAGATAGGTACAAAAAATGCGAACTTCAGCAGTTTTTGAAATTACAGAGGTTTATATGAGGAAAAAAAATAGGTATGTAATGCTTCTAATATAAAAAAAATTCTTGAAATCGTTTTTTAGAAAACTATCTAAACTGAAGGAATGTATTAAATTGAGAAACTGCCTTTCCTCGCAAAATTTAACCAGAAAATCAATATTAAATGTCCTCATGCAACAATGGATTCAAAAGAGTGGTTACTGACTTTGTTTAGAGTAATATTTAGTTTTTCTCACAAAATGGTATAATCTACAGCTCTCTTTGTTGCAGGCCTGTGGTTGAAAAGTAAAATAATTTTGAGAATTGGAAGATGAATATTTTCAACATCCTTTCAACATCATTTCAACACACAAAAACATTTTCAATCGAATGTGTTTCAATTGAAAATTTTGAACATGAATACTGAGCATGCATGTTGTAAAATTCGAGTTCATCTGGTTACACCTTCTGACTGATTAGTGATTCCGGGCGCGACAACGGCTAAGGTCATTTGTCCCCTAACTGTAGTCCACGTTTTCCCTCGGGAGGTGGCGGTGATCTTTCCCCGCTGGATGGTGAGATCCGGCGCCGACCTCCCGTTGGCTAGCGGTGTTTTCCACCACCATTTTTCTCCCACCAGTGGGGTAACGCCTCAGCCGGGACAATTTGCTGGTAGGTCTCTCGGAATGTGTGGTAGTGTTGTGCATGTAAGTGTACGTGCTTGTAAGGGGTAAGGATAGGACAAAGAAGATGAAGGAAATATCGCGAGCGGTCCGTGACCCGTTTGTTTGAGTAGTGCTCAGGCATTTGCCTGGTATTGACAGAAGAAACCATGGAAAACTACTGATCAGAGCAGTCGGCCCCAAGAATTCTTCTCCAGACAGCGATTGAACTCGACTTATCTGTCGAAAATCCTGCCACCATCGAGACTCTCACCTAGGACCTCCCGGGCAGATACACTGCAGTTACATCAGTTGATATCCTAAATCACCTCTCCCGGTTACACCAGAAACATTAGATAAGTGTCAAGAACGGTTTGGCTATCACAATAAATAGTATGTGAATAGTGTCCCGAAATGAGTGAACTTAAGAGAATATTGTAAAAAAATAATTCTGTGACGGTATTAACAAACATCTAAAAGGTTGCCATTGAAACAGCTGAAGTGTGAATTCATTCACACAGCATTAATGAATCAATTACTAAATAATTTGTTGGAAGAGCACGGTAATTCGTTATTGATATTAGCACGTTTCCCAAATATTCTTGAAACACAAAAATTAAGTACATGACGTCCTGGAAATATTTTTGAGTGAAGAGAAGACAAATGAATACGTTGATAAGCAATTTGAGTGTGATGACGATAAAGAATTTGATAATTAAAAAAAGTAGATTTAATGGCAAGTACAGACAGTTCTGGACGAAGTACGACGTAAGGTCGACCCATGGGAAGCCATTTGATCATTTTTACGCAAAAGAGTTGTTCTGTAAACAATAACTTTTGGTCCAAGTTTGACAACTGCTGCCTGGCCATTTTGTTAGATACGCCAATGATGAAGTGGATTTCGAGCTTTGATTCCCTTTTGGAAATAAACTACTCATGAGCCATGATGTAAATTTTCACTATAGAAGGAGTCTATCAAGTGCGCCTGATTCAGCACAATTTGAAATACACTAAAAGAAAATTTCAACGTCAAGCCCGACTAAATTGTCGAAGGAGAAGGAAGAACAAATGAAAGAGATAACTACGATGAAAAGGATATGCAGAGTGTAGTCGAAGACTAGAATTTCTCACGAAATGATTTTGCGAAGTTGGAATTTGAGTGATAGGTATCTACTGGGCTGTCGGAGAGACGCCGCGTCCTAACCACAGATGCCAATGTTTCGGCAATCATGCTGCGGCCTTCTTCAGGGGGAAGTGCTGCTTCCTCAGGGGGAATCAGGGACGCGATGTCTCCCGGACAGCAAAATAGCTACTGACTCTGGTCGTGGAAGCCTACGCTTTCGAAGTTCGAGTGAGTACATACGAAACCTACGTGAAGTGTCTTTAGAATAAGATGGGTTTTTAAAGTAATGGTTCAGATCAGTTGAAGACTACCAACAAAGTCGGTCAGGATGGAGCATCAATACGATGACACGAACGAGTGCCTGTAATACTACAGAGATCCAAACTCTTCCAGTTAAGAAATAAATACTATCGAGAGGAAAACAATTGATGTAGGATAATGACCAAATTAATGGTGCTACAACGCAATACTTTCTCGCATCATTTGCTTCTTTTAGAATTTTTGAAAATTCGGAGAAGCCGTCCAGTGAAAATGAGACATGTACCATTTTTTAAGAGACTTTTACTCTATTGGAACAAAAATTTAAAGAAATAATTTGGAGCAGCGTTTGAGAAAAGTTTCAAAATTTCTATCCTATATATAAAATCCTTTTTCTAAAATTGCAAAAGTTCAATTTTCTTTGGTGTCTGCCTACAATTACGACATTGAAAATAAAGGTTTTGATTCTTAATGAAATTGTTCTTTAATAAAAGATCTTGAAATAGGATCCAGTACAATTTTTTGAAAAATGTGTGGTTTTTGCGTACGTTTTCCTGAAGCTTTTTTCAAAAATGGCTCTACAGTTTTTCTTGAAATGTTGGTCTCTCATCCATTAAAAGACGGAAAACGATTGGTGCTAGTCTCATTTCCGGCAAAATCTCTGTTTGTGAAAACTGCAAAAATTAAAAGTTTCAAAACTGCAATATTGAAGGTACGGATTTTTGCCTTACACAAAATGTGGTCTAAAAAATCATCTCGCTAAAAAATGGTCATGTACAATTGCTTGAGAAAAAAACGATTAGTTTTATGTCATTTGGGCTTGAAATTAATGCAATTTTTAATCCAAAATTCTAGCAATGGGACTGATGACCTTAGCAGTTATTGTGACCACAATCACAAATGAAGCACTCAATCGACTTTACGCAGGATGTCTCAGAACTCATGTTACAAACTTCTATGTCGCGTAGAGGGGTCGGAAATGATTTTTTTTGGTAGAGAACATGCAGTGGGAATTTTCATATAACGGAGTTATATGCATGTATGTGTGTATGTTGCATTTCCCCTAATTTTTAGGCAACCCCGTATGAACAGATGTTCGGCAGGTAAATAAAATATTTTTGACGGCGTCAACTTCTGACGAAATCTGTTGGGTTGCCTAACGATCAGGGGCAAATGCCACATGTAAAAAGATACATTTAACTCTGCAATACGAAATTTCCCACTCCGTGTTAGATTTCAGAAATTTTTCATTTTTGATCCCTCTACATGACCTAGAAGTTTGTAACATATATTCTGAGATACATGTATAGCAATTTAGGCTGATGACTTTTATGACAATTTACGTTGTAGGAAGTGATAAAGAAATTGCTAGTTTTGAAAAAAAAAATGCATCAAGAATTCAAAACAATGAGCTTCCTTTTCAATTTCCTTAACATGGAATTAAAACGCTGCAAAAGAAACCAATTGAAGGAAGTCTTCGAATATTACACAAAAATAATAATAGAAAGGTTTCAGGTCGATGAAACAAAAGTCGAGTAAACTTCTATCGGTTGTCGTTACAGCGATGAAACAGTCGTATCGATGAACCACAGAGGGAAGCAGAGGGATAACTTTGCCACGAAAATTCAACAGTACACGACTGGCAGATGAAACTAATATTACGATTTGAAAGGTCTATTGAATTATGTAATCATCTGTGCCCAAACATTTCAGGGTCTTACGTTGCAGGTGACAAGATTGCGAGATTTTCTGCGACTAGAATAGTCGCAAAGTTGTCTGGATAAGCTGTCTCATGTACTAGCTATATACAAAAGGAATGAGCAATATCAACCACTGAAGCAGAGAATGTCTTAGCTAGTGGAAACAAAAAAACAAAAAATTGAATATAGCGCCAACTGTCAGTGTTGATTTGCCAAGATAAACGAAAACACTATCCAATAATAGAAATTCAATGGAAAGAATCGACGCTCGAAATATATAGAAGTTGGATATTTTTATATCTTCCCAGGTGGCTCGTTAGTTAGCATGCTCGCTTTGCACGACGCAAAGTCGGATTCGATTCCCGGCCGAAGGAAATTATAACTGTGCGCTTTTCCTTACAAATGTCCCAGTATCTATTTCTGTGTGACGATGAGGAAGCTCACCATAAGGTTTCAAGAACAGTATGTACGGTGATGTCTTTGTACTACCCACACGAACACCACCTCCCATGGCGGAGAGGCTGGGCTACCGCAGGTCGGCCATGAACTTCACACAGACACTACATGGTAACATTAGCAAGACTAGACGACAGGAATTTTAATAGTGAATGACCACTGTCCACGGACCACCCTGTTCTGTAGTGCACAAGACAGACAATGCCATCTTTTCTTCCCGGGGAGATCTTGGGCAACACTAACATTTTAAAATAAAAGAACTAATATCTAGTCGTTCTGAATTAATGATTTAGATTTGAATTATTTCTTTAAAAAATAATTTTCTTGTAAATTTAATTATCATATATTTATCATTATCATATCATATCATTACCATATATTATATTTTGTGATTATTTTCAGTATCTTAGATACCTACCTGAATAAAAAATGAGAACCACAATCTTCCTCTTTATTCCTTCTCTTTACAATCAATTTGAATGCAACAGATATGATTTTTGTTTCGAAAGTTGTTTTGTTGTTTTGTTTCAATTATACCTGTGTGTGTTGGTTTTAATTCACCAATGAGAAACGTCACAATACTATTAATGCTAGGTAGGTACACTCCTTGACCTGTTTATTTCTCTATATCACGTTAACGTTTCACACTGCGATTCCAACATACACCACGAGAAAAAATATAGAGATTTAATTAATAGATTGCCAAGATAATTTCAATATCAAATAATTTGATCAATAGATAATACTAGTGGCCAGCAGCAGTAAAAATGCGGTTGAACAAAACCATACAAAATGGATTTTCAAAAGTAAGACGCACATTGCTCACAAACAACAAATAAAATACTCTCGTTTTAACATTGCAATAAATGAAATGTTTTAACGAAAACAGTCTTCACGAAAACTGCTAAAACAATGAACAGTATATGCACAGTACAAGAATAGAGATGTCCAGAACACGAGACTTTTAGTAGTACGAAGGGCAGCACCGTCGCCTATGGGTGGCAAGTGGCAGAAGACGTGAGCTTATCGATAAAACACGACTGAGTCGATTTTTTTTAAGCGTCATGACCATTCTTCGTTGGAGGTTTCCTGTGCCTATAATAATTTTAAAACGGTTTTGTTTTTTGGTACACATTGTCGCGCGGAGATGTTTTTCTCCCTAAAATGAAGTTATATTTTCACGAAAACCAAATTGTGTCTGATAGTGAACTGGGACAAAGGGACCAGGAAAGAGTTAGCTTTTTAGATGCTTTACTGTTCCCAAAAATCACGAATGTAAAATTATTGTAATATAATAATATATAGTATATTATATTATAGTAATATAGTAGTAAAATTAATGTAATGCTCCCGTAACAAAGAGAACAAAAATAGATTTCAATTTTGAAGCAAGAAAATGTAGATGTTTATTTCAAGTCAATAGTAAGTTACAGTCCTCGATCATCTTGGTAATTCGGAATGCACACGTCTAAACATTTTTCTGTAATTCTCAGATGTTTCACACGAAAACGTATTTATATTTTCCACATTTTTACAATAATATAAACAACTTACTACAGGGCATAACTCTCAGGAAATAAATTGTCATTTATTTGCATTCCCTGAAGGTTACGTGCAAACACAGAATCATAATATGTATGAACTAAAAACACTAAAATTTTGTTGATCTTAATAACTTTATTTGTATAAAATCTAACCCATCTTTAACATGACTTTGTTTGTGTAAAAGCTAAGCCCAAATATTAATTAAGCCATCCAAATCAACTGTTTTCTTCGGTTAGTAATTCTCTAGGAATCGTTTACGCGCATAACAAACACTTTCCCACCAAACGTTGTGACGTCATTCTGGATATCTCTATACTTTACATTTAAAGAATACCAAAACCGTTGCTGTTCCTTAATGCAATGCGTCAATTACAAATATTTTAGGGAGGCCGCTTCCTTGGAGCCTTGATTCAGCCATTTGTGTCGAAATCCTTAATTCATTGAGTATCATTTTAGTCGGTACGCGCAGTATGAGAATAGGCGGAAGAACACAATCAAGTACTTCCATTTTTCAGACAAAAATCGAAACTAATTGTCTCTGGATTTTACCGCGTTTCCGAATTTCTAACGAAACCATTGATACCTCTCACATGGGCATGGTCTGCAGATTCTTTCATTTCTGCGCTAATAAGAAATTAGTAATATAGTTATGCAGAAAAAGCCAATGTTAGGAAACGAAAAGTATAATTCCTTACCAAAGGCCATAATTCCAATTGCAGGTATTATTCCCTTATTGGCAAATTGCCATGCATCTGGTGTACTTGGGCTGAAAAATTGAAATGATCAATTGAAATTGTCCATAATTATGTTATTTTTGCCCTCTATTTGTGTACTTAGTGACGTGAATTCAATAGCAATAATAGAAGTCACAATTCATTTAATACTTACACCACATCATGAAGTGTTGCCATCCTGATGAATATTGTGACCAAAATGAAACTAATGAAGACAAGGGAGAGAAAAGAGACCTTGCTGAGTTTGGCAATGTCTCGATATAAACACAAAGGTATTGTAATAAATATTGTAGCTAGAGCAACAACAAATTCACGTCGTGCCAGTAAAGAATCTGCTTCCACTCCTGTCATTCGAGTCAGTACCTTTGTAATAGTATCTCCAACTACTACATTATAACTCACCATAGCTGTAAAGAAAACAGGGACTAAAGAACAGGCATGAGAATATATGGTATCGTATGTAATAATTTAACATGTTTCAGTACTATATAATCAATATTTCAAGTAAATTATAGACAATGAAATACAAATAAAAATTATTTAATAATACATCTGGGACAGCTATTACTTCCAAATATTCAGGATGTCGTAAATTGAATAACTTTATTCTAAATTGAGTAAATATGTAATATGAAATATACATACCATGACATAGCCCAAACTTATGAATATAATACAAAATGTACGGAAATATCATTATCAATGAGGAACTACAAGAATAAATGCAATGAGGTAGCATGAGAAAGAGGAAAATAGGAATTAGGTAATGAGAGTTTGAAGGCTTGTGAAGAGAAATGATGTAAGATCATGAGGCGGCCAATGTATTTTGAGGGACTTAATGACTTAAAAAGGAACAAATCAGATTTATATTTTTACATACCAATAAAAGGATAAGTAAACTGCAAAATTGAAAGTAGGACAAATCCTGGTTTTCCAAAAGCAGCCTGCATCAGGCCCTGGTAGGAGAAAGCACCACTCAGGTGCCCACTGCGTACCATGAGTATGAGTGAATAGTCTGTGATGAGAGCCACTCCAAAGAGTAACAAGAGACCCATGCCAAAACCAGCTTGTTGAAATGCATAAGGAATTCCTGAAGCAGAAAAAAATCAGATGAAGTTATTGAATTGGTTTAATAATAAAATGAAAAAAAATTTAAGTAAAAAAATTGAAATGCAAATAGAAATTTTGGAATTGCAAATATAAAAACTTTACTTGCAAATAAGAATAAATTATAAAGATGTTGGCATGAAAATTAATATGTTATTTTTAATAATTATGTAATATGAAATCATTTAACAATATCACAAATGTTACATTAATTATGAGAACACATAGATTGATATTCTTTAGTATTAACACACAACATTTTTGCATACACCAAAAATGAAATAATATTTCATACAAATGTAATAAACAAAATATAATATGAAATATAAAAATATTAAAGTTTACAGAAGCAAATAGCAGAGAAAAAAATGCAGGAAAAGAGATATTTGAAAGTAATATATACCATCAACACCCAGGAAGAGAAGAGAATATTTACTTGAAAGAAAGACATTCATGGATGATCACATTTTATATCATGGATTGGGGCACAGGAAACACCTCATAACTCACCAATGACTCCACTACCAATAATGGAATTTATGTAGTTAAAACTAGCAAGTGGTAAACTGGTCTGGTACTTCTCATCATCTGACTGGAAAATAAACATTGTGATATAGGTACAAAAAGCATGTGTTTCTGAAAAGCAAGTTAAGGTATTCACAAGATAAATCCTTAAATAATAATCCTGAATACGAGAGAGAGAGTGATTCACATGGACTAGTCCTTTTAACACAAGCTGTAAATAGTAAACGATGAACAATATTACATAACTTTTTGCTGAAACAACTAATTCAAATGTATATACTTACAACTTTAATTCTATGTATTTTTAAAAGAATTGAAAGTGGTGAAGAGTCCAATTATAAAAAAAAATCTAACACCATTTCATTTTAGTACTAATGCTAGAATACAAATTGGCAAACTTTAAGTAATTATTTGGACTTTCCTATTAGAACAAATGTAATATACAATTGACACAAATATGTAAAAAGGAGCGTTAAACAAATCGAAGACAAACAACTAGAGCAAATTTAGAAATTTATTTCTGATGGCAGAACTACATTATCACTACGGATATTCGTCCGTCCGTATTCCGTGCGACCGTAGTCCCTGCGACAGTAATCTCTGCGACCGTAATCCCTGCGACCGTAATCCGTCTGATTGAGGTCAACGCTAGCGCCTAAACCGTTCAGTCGATTTTCTTCAAAATTTACAATTCCCAACGGATCTGAATGAACTTTAAGCTTTAGGAGTTTGAAACGGATATTTTGATTTTTGAGGGTACTTTACACGAAGCATAAAATATTAAAATTTTCGCAAAAATTATATTAATTTTGTCTTTATCAAACTTTGTCTTCCTACAGCGTAAAGGACGCTAAAGAGAATTGTGCAGGTCTCGAGTTCGTTGAGATCTCAGGTTTTTTGAAAATTGCAAAAGTGCGATATTTTTGGGAGCCTTTAAAGATGGAGATATTTTCCTTGATGGAATCTGTTCTGTAAAGATGTATCTTTAAATAGTTCAGGATTGATTTTTCGAAAGTGTGAGTAGTTTTTGTGTAATTTGGCGCTAAATTTTGGCAATTAAAAAACAAATTTCTCAAAAACCGCACAAATTTCTCTCCAAACATTTTTCTTTAAATTTTTCTACGGATAGAAGGGATGCTTAAAGAATGGTGCAGGATTAATTTTCGTTGAACTCTCTGAATTTTCGAAGATTACAAATTTAGATGTAATGCGAGAAAGTATTTACTGTTGTATTACTTCTTTAAGGAAAACTAGTGGTATGTCCTAAACAATAGATCATTAAATAAGGTATTATACAATTTAAAAAAGTAGTTTTGCCGTAATTTTTCCCTAAGACATAGCAATTTAAAAAAATAAAAAAAAGCCATCAAATTGTTTCTTGACACTTTTTTCTCGAAAAACAAACAAACAAAGGACCCTTAAAAAATGCAAAGTTTTCAATTTCGTTAATCAAGAATTTTTTGAAAAGTGCAAAAGTTACAAATAATGCGAGTTAGCACCACTAAATGTTAAATAAATTCACCACTGTCAACATCATCATGAAATATGTTATAAGCTAGTTATGAAGATATCTTTTTTTTTTATTTGTTGGATCTGTATTGATGCAAGCTCCTTAAGGAACGTAGAGTGCGTTGCGGAAAAATCCTCAGTTAACATTTACAAATTGAGCAATTTTCCATTAACATTTTTTTACGTCGTGTCCAGTTGCGTCGCAGTTGTCATTCAAGCAAGCAGTTGCCAAGAGAGCAGCGAGGTAGCATCACCGCGTATGCGCTTCCTACTACGCGCTCTCCTGCGTCCCTGCCCAGTGGCAAGAATTGGGACAGAATTAGGATTCGGGTAGGGTTTAGTTTCATAGGGGTTGGACTAGCCCTTGTGAAGCAGCTAAGCTGGTTTTGTTGGAAGAAACTTTACATGTTGTCCGGGATTCGATGGGAATCGAACCCGGGCCTTCTTTTTCAGATTTGATTTTCAGATTTTCTTGATTTAATCATTAATTTCGGTTACACTTGTTCATAGTTCTCATAGAATAGAAAGCCCAAATTTTTGCGTAATATATTGTAGCTTCATATACTAGAATAATTATCGATAATCAGAATCTTCACCATCGTATACTTTACTACTACTTTACATGCTGCTCTAATGTGCGGGTCTATTTGTTGGCCATTTATATATTCTCTTTCTAGTTATGTAAATTGTATACCATAACGAGCTGTTTGGTGTCGGAAGTCTGTTCTTCCTCTGGCGTGAAGCCACCATCGCTAGATGCTATTCTGCTGCGACCCTGAAACAACGAAAAAAACATTCAGTTCATGTTTAAAAATTAATCATTGCTGCTTTCCTTCCTCATCCTTCCCTCCCCCTTTCCTCTTTAACACACAAAGTTACATGCACTACACTACCACACATTACGGGAGATCAGTCTCGTCTAGGGCGGTGTACCACGGGGGAGATACCTGGTGAGGGCGACCAATTTAGTCTTCATGTAGGCCAAGACTTCACTTTTCAGGAGGGGGAGAACATCGCAACTCCATGGATATAACTCACCGTAACTCGTACGGGACTAATCACAATAACAGCGGACGCGCACAGAAACAATCAATTCGCATGGGTATTCAAGAATTCTTAATGATAATATTAATGATAGTAAACCAGTTTAGGGTCTCCGGCAGCACCTGTCGTGGGAGTCTCGCCATACTCTAGACGTACAACTGTTCGACTGATTACATTCATTAACACTTGTGTAAATACAAGACAACATACAAGCCAGACCAAGTTCCTGGTCTGAAAAGGAGCTTTGAACAAACTGCATATACATAGATGCGTTCATTTCTATTGTTAGTCACAGATCACTTATAAAAGAATTCTGCAAACTCCTAATGAGGCACTCAATGTGTTGAAGTATTGGAAAATTATTGAACACGCGGGAAGTGAGGATATCGCGGTCAGTTTGTTTGGGTACATCGGCAAACTGAAGCACAACTCAATTCCGGAATAAAATACTTCAGAGACGAATAATTCCCATGAAAGTTAAACTTGCGCTTGTTTTCAGGAAAGCGGGATATGACAGATACGCAAATAATTTACAGTTAATTAAGAGAGTGCAGCATATATTAGTTGGTGATTATTAGTTGTATATTAGTTAGTTAAAATATGGGGATAATTGGATAAAAAAGGGTTATCAGGTAACGTCTGTTACCGTGATTGCACACTTTTTTTGTAAATTTGTTGCGTCTTCGTATTGAAGCAACGCTTCTTGGAACCCTCACTGAGAGTAGAGCGCTTTTTCTTATTTGGAATAATTCAAATAATCCTCCGTTACGTTTATTACCGCCATTATCATTAGGAGTAATCCTCCATTATCTTTTATGTAGTCCGTAAGTTGTCAAGAGCCAGGTAGCATCTCCGTGTACGCGCTTCTTTCTTGCGCGCTCCTGCCTCACTACCCAGCTGCCAGAATTGGGGAAAAAATTGTTATAGGAGTAGTATTTAAGACACTTCACAGGGGTTGGACAAGCCCTTGTGAAGCAGCCAACAAATTTCACATGATACTGTCGGGGAATCTAACCCGGGCCTCTTTGGTGAAAGGCGAGCAACTTCGCTCTGAGCCACGTGAAAGCTACTTATTGGCACGACTTATTAGCAGGGTTCGGATCCTAAACAAACTTCTTTGAAAATGACCTATAAAATGACTTAAAAATAAGAGGAAAATGACTTTAAATGACCTAAAAGGAAGAGAAGAATGACCTATTTTTTTTAAAAATACTAAAAAACGACGAGTATGTAAAATTAATGCAACAATGTTAAATAAAATTCATTTATTTAAAATTACATTTAATGTAAAGCTTTTATTTTATGAGAAAATATTATCCTTACTTCCGATCTTTCAACCTTCAGTTTTGAAAGGTCGAGGATGTTACCGAGGATTTGTGTAATTTTGAGAGTTCGAAAAGAAGAGTCCACTGCAGTAATGAATATCGTCACGAGCTGATGATATATTAGAAACTTTGTATCATCAGTTTCACTGTAAATTCATAAACGTTTCAATACAAAAAAGCAGGAAGAGGAAACAAACTGCGTAAAAATGACAAAAGTGACGTAAAAATCCAAAAAAAAAAAAGATTTAAAAGTTGAAAATGGTAAAAATGACAAAAAATTACCCAACACCTAAACATTTCTATCGCCTACATGTCGTAATTCACATTCATTTAAAAATTAGCAACGTCTAACAGATACCAATGAAAAGATGACACGTAATCAGAATCCGAGCCCTGCTTATTAGTATAGCAATTTAGCAGAGTAATACGAAAGGAGGCGAGAGGTCGGAGATGGGCCCTACGGTAGTCTTTGTTCTTTAATTCAGCTGTTTCATCTCTTAATTTTTTTTGTTATGAGCGCATCTCGCATCTCTCCCTCCCTCTGCGCATCTCTCTCTCCCTCTGCAAATCCATCACCGACTGTACTTGGACCATACGAGCTCCTGCCCAGAGACGCATTGGCAACAGTTATTTTCCTGAGACTTCTCAGCCTATTGCGTATTGTAAATATGACACTGAGCGTTACACGCAGCCAACACCCACGTGATTTAATTTAAACCACCATGCACGATATTGTACATCTAAAAACACAGCGGTAAGGATAGCGGACCTCACTTCATGATATCATTATCATTTGTTCGTTGAAAGGATTCTGGATTACATTTTTTGTAGTATTTGCTTTTTTAAATCTATGCGCCCGTCTCTCCCGAAGTAAAAGAAACAAAATGAGAAAGTGAAAAAATTAAGAAACAAACGAACGAACGAAAGAACTAATGAAGGGACACATCGAAAACTGAGCGAATGATCCATTAATGGAGCAAACAACATATTACTAATTAATAAATGACTACCAAACGAACAAATGAACGATATGAATGATTGAGTAGAATGGGGTGAGAGAACCCTGTGAAGAGCTTCTGCGAATCCACTTCAACCACTACAAATTCCACATTGATACTGTGGCCTCAGTAAAGAGGCGAGCAGTGTAATCACTGAGCTACGAGTCGTTTCATTGTTCAGAGCCGTAATG